CTGGGTCCAAAGTTCACATGCAGATAGAAAACCATAGGAATTCTTGCCTTCTGTGATTGCAAAAACCAGCTCATCTCATCCCATCCCATTCCATCCATCCCACCCTATCCCATCCCATGTCATTCAACCCCATCCCTCCCTATCCAACTCTCCCAACCACCTCCCCTCTCCTCCCCTACCCTCCCATCCCATCTCACTCTATCTACATCATCCCATCCCATCCCACCCCACACCATCCCATCTCACCCCACCCCACCCCATCCCATCCCATCCCATCCTTTCCATCCCACCCCACTCCACCCCACATCATCTCACCTGTCACCTAGCCCTCTTCCTAACTACCCAATCACCTGCATATACAGTTCTATGTTTCTGGGAAACCCTGGGTGACACATGGCTCATGGCTCAAGACAACTGGGCTTGATCTCGAGGAGGCTGTCAGGCCCTCTCCTCCCTCCCTCCTGTGCTTTGCTCCTGAGCTCTACAGCCTCTGCCGGGAAGGACTTCTGTATTCACCATGTGCCATGGCTTGAATGCACTGGCCTTCATTCCTGAAGGTTGGCTCTTGATTTTCCTTAGAAGACAACAAAAGCTTTCTCTCACCCGTCTTGAGCTGACAGCTGGAAACTCCAGTTTCCAAGACCAGGCCCGTGTTCTCGATTCCTAGAACTGGTCTGTGGCTCCCAGATGGAACATTTGCTTGCTCTCCAGCCTCTCTGAGGCCAGCTCTTTCTTGTGGCCACAAGTCCTGGCCTCATAGTTCTGCTTTAGTCAAGGAAGTGCTGCAGGGCCAAAAAGAAAACTAAGAAGAGCGAGTGGGAAGGCAAGCCACTGCAGTGCCATTTCACGACACACTGCGGCTCTGAGAGCGAGTCGTCCTCGACCCCAGCTCTGCGAGACTCCTCTGGCCTGGTCTTATTCTTCCTGTGAAGGGATCCTGGGCTGCCCCTTCTGCTGTCTCTGCCACCTATGGGACCAGACTCTGCTGCCTACGAGAAGCAAACTAGCAGAAAGGGGCACCCTGTAGTGGACACGTCCTTCTCCTCTGGGGGCCTGTTGCTCCTGGCTGATGGTGGTTCTCCTTAGCCACTGGAAGGTGGCCTCAGTGCTTTCTGTGAGCAACTGTTTCATCGAAGACCCAACAGTGGGTGCCCTGTGGCGTCATGCAGGGTGTGGTAACCTCTATGTCTCCTAAGGGGGTGGCTTCCTACGTCATCCTCAGATTTGTGCCCAAAATGATTTGCTGCAGTTCCAGCCCTGCTGAGAGTTAACATGAACTTGCTTGGATGAAAGTCTGAAGAGGTGGGAGGACCAAATGGCTTAGGGGGTTCCTAACTTTAGTGACCGGTATTCTGGACACACAGAGACACAGGTGCAGGGGGTGGGACAGCTTGAGGACAGGCCATGGGCACGAGCACTGGGTCTCCAGGCTGAAGGATGTGCTGATTGCTACAGAGCCTTGGGGAGAGCATGGCACTGCCAGCCCGCACGTCCTACGCCTGCTTCCTTTGAGAACTCCTGCTCTGTGCTCCTCTGTGACAGAAGTGGGCCCAGAGGGATAAGAACCCCAGGACCCTGGACCTTGACTACCCACTTCTCTCTACTCAGTCCTGGGGCATCCTGGGGGATTGGGACATCTCAGAGATCTAGGGGTGGCTAAATGGAGGGGTCCCCCAAGTGACGCTCATCTGCTGCAGGGGTTGGCCCAGCTCTGAGGGTTCTGATGGTTCTCTGTCCTTGCAGAGAGAACCTCCCTCTGGGTTCAGAAGCCACCTGGTCCTGTAGCATCCCTGTGGGGAGGCCAGCCCCAGCCCTCTGGCCCTCTGGCTGGCATGGCCCCCCAGGCTCTCCACACTGAGCTGTCCAGGGGATGCACTGTGTTGCTCCAGTCCTGCTCTCTCCCCAGGTCACCCCACAGGCTTCATTCCAGGGAGGCTGACCTCAGTCTCTGATTGCAGCCCCCCTTGGGCAGAGCCTGTTCTCTGCTCCTCTGAAGTGAGCCCTGGCCTGAGGCTGCGATTCTTCAGCCTTGCCTCTCCCCCAGACCCAGACAGCTTGTTTCCCGGAAGCTTCCTTCCCAGCTGCCTTCAGGCCAAGGCCGGGGTGGAGGGCTGAGTTTTTCTAACAAGCTCTCAGTGTAGCTGTGGCTGAGACCACAGATCACACACTAGGGGCTTGGTGCACAGGGGTTGATGGGACCTCGGGGGGCCTTTGCAGGGCAAGTGTGAGGGAGGCTGGTTGACACTGGCATGCATGTGGGGTTTGGAGGTTGGGCAAGGAACATAAAGCAGTCTGGTGTGATTTCAAGGGTTGACTTGGGGCCCTGCTCCGACAAGGGTCTCGGCCCTTAGACGTGGAAAGCTGAGTGCAGAAGCCATGTGGGAGCCACTTGATCAGAGAGTTCTGTGTGTCAGAGATGTCCCCGATGCCTTTCTCAGAGGCAGAAGCAGCAGAGATTGGTAGAGAAAGACAGGTCACTTGTTTGTGTGTACAGGTGTACACCTGTGTGTCTGTGGGCACACACAATGTGTGCGTGGGCGAACGTGAATGTGCATGCCCGGTGTGCAGCATACATATGTTTACACGCCTGCTGTGTGTGCATGGACATGTGCGGGTGTGCACGCACCCACAGATGTGTCACAGCTTGTGGAATTTTTCTGTTTTGCCTTTAGCAGCAGCAGCAGCTCCCAACACAAAAGGTGGGAAAGCCTTACCCGAGCACAGCTTCTATTTGAGCTCTTCACTGCATTGTGCAGCAATCTATTTTTGTACGGAGGCTCTTACTGTCCCCTTTGTGGGTCCGCAAGATTCCGGCTTTGCTGTTTCTCACTTTGTTCTTCTGCCCAGCCGAATCCCTCTCCTTGCCTTTCATCCTGTTTTGCCTTCTCTGGGTCAAACACACAGAGAAACTCAGACGCTCCTCGGCTTTTGTGGCTCACCTTCACGGTCAGCTGTTCTGTGGCTGCCGATCTGCTACATCACAGAGACGTACTTTGAATTCTCTCACGTTTTCTTCATAGCCAAACCTGAGCCTGGAGCCCTTGCCTCTTCCAGCCCGAGCGCCGTTGCTGCTGCGCTGCCTGCCAGCAGGTGGCAGGGTGGCCGTCCTGTTCCTCTGCAGCAGATAGATTCCAGCCAAGTGCAGGGA